ATAAAATAATAATAATAATAATTATACAATATCGGAATAATAATCTAATAAAATAATAAACGGTTCTATAACAGTATTACAGAAAATTTCATCGAAATTTTCCTTACCTTGCAAAATTTTTATTATATAGTTCTTTATTTGCAATAAATTATGTAGTTCAATAATATTAGCATATGTATAGGTTTGGAACCCAGAGTCAGAGTTTGTAACTGAGAATCTAGATTTGGAACCTCGAATCTGAGTTCAAAACTCCAGATCCAGATTTGATACCCTTGTATGTCAAATTGTATAAATAGGATGCTAGTTTAGTAAATAAAGTAACTCTTTTTTACTTTGCTTAAATAATAAGTACAGTAGATACATGACCTATACTCATTTTATTTTAATCTGATAATAAATAATTAATAAGCAGTAATCTAACTTGGACCTATATGTAACCTATAGTAACCTAACTTAGACCTATATGTAACTTGTAGTAACCTAACTTTGATTTATATATAATCTGAAGTGACCTAACTTGAACTATAAATAACCTAATAGTGACTCATAGTGACCTGACTTGGACCCTAAGTAATCTAAATATAACCTGTGATACTTCTTTCGAATATAGTCTTATTGAATTGGCAATACTTACCAAATTGATAATTATTACCACATATGAATCTGGACTGTGTTACTTACTATTAGGATTTATGCTTATGGCGCTGAACTAAATTGGCCTAGATGTATAAAAGCTCTCTTTAGTTATAACATTTTGGTGCTAATTGTGTGAAAAACAGCAGAAGGTGTCAATAATCATATGAATAAGTAGTTGATAATATTAATTATACATTGAAGTATGTGAATAAATAACAAATACAAGTAACTGTTGATAGTATTATGCGAACGAGTATTAATAATATTGTATGAACAAGCATTGATAATTATTATAACGAATATTGATAATTGTTGTGTATGTAATGTAAGTAATACTATATAAGCGAACATTGATAAGGATGTACAGATAATGTTGAAGTTAAACGTTTCGAAAAGAAGTGTGGATGAATTACAACAGTAAAAAGATGAATGTGTGTATAACAATAGTGTGAATAAGTGTAGATATAATAGTAGAAATAAACATCAATATAATAGTATAAAAAAACCATTAGAATAATAGTATAGGCAGATAATCAGTATAAAATGTAGAGAAATACTTTTAACAATATGAATCTTGAAAATGAATGTCACAATTATGAATGAGTAAATAATGGAAACTCTCCTAGTAATAGCAATTCTTTTAGAAATAAGTGTCTTTTGAATAGTCTGACCTTCAAACGAACCTTGATCAGCAAGATGTCTTGATCAGCAAACAATCCGATTGTTGCAAGTCATAGCTAGTATGTTGGCACAGCTTCAACAATCTTATAATGAGTTAAATAAATATAGTGTAGTAAAGATTCCAATGTTTAGTGGAGAAAATCAGAATTCTGTTAAATGAATAGATGCAGTAATGGAAGCATTCGAAGCAAATAACATTATAGAAACAAGACAACTTGTGGTTGTAGGTGCTCATCTCTCTGGTCTTGCTGCACTATGGTGAGAAAATCAAATGTATGGTAATAATGAAGTACAATACTGGGAAAATGAAGAGACTCCATGTCAAAGTTTTGTGCACCAATTCAAGCAGACTTTCTGTACCCTGGCCCTAATTAACTAGTGGAATAATAAATTACTATTCTGACGATAATATATAGGAGAATTATAGACCAGTAAGCTGTGAATATATTGATAATATTTAACCGAGTATGTCGAGTTCATTTTGTATAACCCTTTGATATACCTAATAACCCAAGTAGTAGTGCTTCCATATTAGCAAGCTTGTTCTATGGCCCAACCCATAGTACTACCATCCCAGTCTATGATACCTATTCAAACCAAAGCTTCAATGAACTTTGTAGATCAGATAATGGCTATGTTACAGAAGGTGATGACTATCATCAGGAAAATTTTTTTGGCACAGATCTGTGAAAACCTGTGAAAATGCAGATTATTGCAGATTTTTTAATACAGATCTGTGCAGATATTCAAAAATGCAGATTATTACAGATTTTTTAACTCAAATCTGTGCAAATCTTCAAATACACAGATTATTACAGATTTTTTAACTCAGATCTGTGCAAATATTCAAAAATGCAGATCTGTGCAAATATAGGTTTTTAAAAATTTTTTAGTTAAATTAATTATATTATTATATAGTTTAAATTTAAATTATCGAATTTTTATTTAGAAAAAATGTATAATTAACCAATGGATATGCATATCCAGGTACCCCTGTATAAGAAATAATTGATACGTACTTTACAGTATTACATTATAGTGATAGCAATAGTTGATTTGACTACTATTTATATGTATGTGCAATTACGCATTGGTAACACAAATGCTTTTTTTTTTAAATAATTCAAAATTTCGTTTTTTTACTTTATCAAAGCCGTGTGTTGGTAACAACCGCTTTTTTTTTGAACAATTCAAAATTTCGCTCTTTTACTTGTATCGTAACCAACCAAAACTAAAACCTAACTTTAACTAACTACTAACCTGAACCGAAGACCTACTTGTAACTGAAGGTTAGTAAAAAACTAAAGAAAAACGAAGCTAAATTCCAATCTCAGAATTAGTAAATTTTTATTCATACATTGAAAAGCAAAATTAATGTTCTTTATTACTATTAAAGCCCAACCAAAAACTAAAGCACAACTCAAAACTAACATTAAACTAACACCCAACCCAAACTAACGTCAAACTAAAGCCTAACCCAAAATTAACGTCCAACCCAAACTAAAGCCTAATTAAAACTAAAGCCCAACCTAAACTAAAGCCCAATTAAAACTAAAGCCTAACCTGAAACTAAAGCCTAACCTGAAACTAAGCCTACTTTGAAACTATATGAAAGGTATTTATTTATTTTTTTTGAGACTTTTGAGAAGTTCAAATATAGTTATCTTACAATAATATTTTTTAGATCCCAACCCGTAACTATGTTTCAATCTATAAATAATGCCCAACCTAAAACTATAGTCCAATCTATAACTAATGCTCAACCTGGAACTATAGTTCAATCTATAACTAATGCCCAACTCCAACCTGATATTAAGGATCAACTTGAAGCTAAAGATCAACCCGAAATTAAGAACCAATCTATAAATACAGAACAGCTTATAGCTGAAGACAGTAATAATCTTAATTGGATGTTTGAATTGCAAGACATATTTGAAGATTCATATCAATTGCAAGACATATCTGAAGGTTCATATCAAAATATTGAAGAATCATATGATGATTTGTATGAGAATAATGAGCCGGAGGATAGTATAGTGAGTGAAATTTATAGTGATTTGGATGAAGATAGTTATGAGGATGATGAGTCAGAGGATAGTATAGTAAAGGAAATTTATAGCGGACAAACATTTATATCATTTGAAATACTTGAACAATGTTTGAAACGATATGCTAATCGAACAGGTTTTGAAATAAGAACTATAAGATCTGAAAAAGAAGAGGGTAATTGGTCACGAAAGACATATAAATGTCATCATGGTGGGAAATACAAAGCTAAAAAAAAAGTGGATCCTACCCAAAACCGAGACAAAGAATCAGTTCGTATTGAGTGTGAGTTTACAGTAAATGCATCATATTGTAGATCTGAAAATCTAGTATTTGTTAACAAATTTGTTAGTCAACATAACCATGACTTACAAAATCAAGATTCTCTTCAAGAATTTTCACCAGCATTACGCAAAATACCAGGCCAGATAATGGATGAAATACAATTTTATGTTCAAGAGTATCATATTGGGGCTACAGTTTTAAAAAAAATATTAAGAAAAAAATATCCAAATCAAGATATACATTCTCAAGATCTTTATAATGCAATACATAAATTCAAGACTGATGCTCAAGTTAAAAATGATGCTGCTGCACTTTTTGAACATTTAGTTCAATTACGTTCTGAAGATCCTGAATATTATTTTAAGGTTGATTTTGAGGGTAATGATAATAGGCTGACAAAAATTTTTTGGATGTCTTCTGAGCAAAAGCAACTGTGGATTCGATACCATGATGTTGTTATAAATGACAACACATGCAAAACAAATAAATATTTAATGCCCTTAAATGTTTTTATAGTAATTGATTCTGATCAAAAAAGTCGTATAGTAGCAACAGCTGTAGTGTGTGATGAAACGGTTTCAACCTATAAATAGATCTTAGAACAAACAAAACATGCAACAGGAGATCTTCAACCAAAAACACTTTTTACCGATGCAGACCAGCAATGCAAGTTGCAATAAATAATCAATATCCCAAAACAATTATAAAGCATTGTGCTTTTCATATCTGACAAAATTTAATAAAAAAGGTTAAACCAAAACTTTAACATAAGTGGGACATTTTTATTAACGATTTTTATACCTTGCATAACTCTCTTACAAGTTCAATTTTTGAATGCTGCTGAAAAGATTTAATAAATAAATATCCGGAAATTCAAAAATATTTTGAACATGTATTGTATCCAAGCAAAATATGTTGGGCCCATGCATATACCAAACATAGCTTTTCAGCAAATATACATTCAACTCAACGTGTAGAAAGCTTGAATAGAGTTATAAAATTAGAGGCTAATTCAGGAAATTCTTTGTGTCAACTTCAGCATGGAATTGAATTGCGGTTAAAAGATGAAGCCAAGTATTCCAGATGGCAAAAATTTCAAAATATAAACCCTACTAGTGGAGTTCCCCGGGTTTCTAATACTATTTTCAAGTGTATAGATGAAACATTTAAAAAATATCTTACACCAAACTTACTAGCATTACAACGAAAGCAAATGGTAGAAAGTCTGTTGTATAGGGTTAAAATGAAAGATCTTGGTGATGTAGTAATGCAGGAATTAGATCAGTACAGTATAGGGTTTCTTGAGGATGATTATGAAGAACCACAAGTCTTAGTTAGTATGGCTTTAAAAGATTGTTCAGAGAGTATTTTAAGTGAAATTTGGGAGGTTAAGCATCTTCAAACAATTACAAATAAATCACAATATGTAGTTATATTTGACAATGGTACATATTACTGCACCTGTCTTTATTTAATTTATGCAGGATTTATCTGTAGGCACTTTTTTGCTGTAATGCTTCAATCAAAAGAAGCACAATTTAATATCAAACTTGTGCCATCCAGATGGTATTCGAAGGAAGGACTTTTATTAAAGGAAAAGGTACAAGAAAATTCGATTTGGTTAATTCAAACAGAAGATACTGAATTGCAAACTGGCACTTTTCAAACTTTAAGCACTATCCGTGGACAAGAAATTTTTGATGAATCTTTTACAAATTTAAATTCAAGAAAAGACTTATATGGTCGTAGTATTGGACTTTGTAAAAAGGCCTTAAATTTAGCGATTTTAAATAATTCTACCCAATCATTTGAAGAACTTTTACAACAATTTATTAAACAACAAAATACTTCTATTGCACCAAACAATAATTTAATAGAATCGTCTAAAAATATGGTCAGTATTACAAATCCACTTCAACATAAAGGAAAAGGCCGACCTACAAACAAAAGACACTTGTCAGCTATTGAAAATCAACCTTCTAGAGAAAAAAAGAAAAATAAAAGACAATGTTCTATATGCAAATCTTGGTACCATGATTCAAGAAATTGTTCTGTAAAAGATAGTCAGCATGATAAAGAAAATAATTAATATATTAGATTTGGCTTGCTTTAGGTTTTTCTGGTTTGGTAATGTTACTATAACAAGTGTGAGTTGTATGTATATTTAATCGAAGTGAAAAACTTATATTAATATGAAATTTTAACCAACCTTAATTCTAATATTTGCTAAATTTTGTTGCTGCCATTATATTTTAATATTTGTCTAAAGTTTAACTCCAAGCACTTGAAATTGTATTTGACTAACAATTTCAAGTGCTTGAAGTTAAATTTTAAACAAATATTAACTTCAAGCTACTAATATAGTTAAACATTCATATTTAGAGTTAGGTATAATACCTGATAATATAAGGTACTTA